ATAACGACTACAGTTCTTTAAGTGTCTTCATTCTTTGCGATTTATGAGCACGGGCACCGAGTGACAACAGTGTTATTTTACAAGTCATCGACCATAAGCATATCCCAAGTCTGTGCCAGACTGGCTGAGATACAATCTCACGATTTTTGAGAATATATTCTAAGTATCACAGTAAATGCCCCTACATCTTGTATTATTATTTCTATTTAAAGCGTTTAAGCCCAATTTCACATACTTTTAACATCTCTTATCATCTCATTCTACAAATCTAATTTTTCAAATTTCTTAAAACAAAAGAACCAAACAATTATACTTTTTTTACGACAAAAAGTATGTATGTTTCTAAAAAGCCTATTACAATGTCTAAACAAAATATAAGTAAAACGTTTTATATTAAATATTGAAAACAATGTTTCTCTTAGATATTCTAATATTTTTTAAACTATTTAAGTTAATTAAAGAACCTTAACGTCACATATATAAAATAAATCAATGAATTTCAACAGGTTTGCGTATTAGCTTCAACGTGCAAAAAATAATTCATCAATGCGACAACCTTGAGTACTCGAAATCGATTGGTCTTCAGCTTGCAATTGGTTGTTATGGAAACGAGTTACGTCACCAGGAGTGAAGCTTTAAAAAATAATTGCATGAAAGGGCATGATGCACCAAAAGTAACCCTATTGTCGTAATATAAAGTGGACATGTGAACTTCATTCAAAAATTTATTGAACGCGAAGTTTGTTGTTTAAAACTGTTTGAATCCCAGATAAATAGTTTTACGAATTACAAAGGAAATGCTGCCGAGAACATCAAGAACATTACAAAAACAAACTTACGAAATATTGAAGCTTGACTTAACGAATAAAGTAGACTTATAACATTAACATTCATTTTAACTCATAAGTTAATATGAGTTTGATGTAACGATCAGTACTGAACATGGAATTATATATATATATTTATATGTGTAACTTATGTAAACTTTCAAAACACGTATATTATTACATTTAAAATATATTACTTAAAATAATGGACTCCAAACTACTCCAGTATAGGAAGAAACACCTAAGAGATACCAGCTCCCCCACGCGGGTTGGTCTGCTCAGCCTTACGTGTATCCCTTGAAAGATTAAATATTTCTAGAGCATATCCTGTTGTTTGATAAACATACAAAAATGACGTTGTGAAACAGCTACTAAATAAACTCATTTAATAATTAACGCTGCATAATTAACGAAAAAAATCTTTAAGGTGTCTTAGTGTTTCTTAGACCAAAGAACGTATAAATCCTTTTTTGTAAATATTTTGTGCAATTTAATTGTTTCTCTTTAGTTTTTCTGGATTAAACATTAGTAACTCTATCTATTGATTAAGTGCACAAAACGTTTATTTAGTCTTATATCAGGTTTGTGAAATATATCTTATATATAATGCTTGGAGATGGCTTGAATGGGTAATGAAGAAAAACTTTAATACAAGTTTAACATAACAGCGTTTCGACAAGGTTTTGTCATCATCAGGTACAAGTAGTTTACACTGACACAGATATATATATATATATACAGTATTGAACAAAGAAGTCACATGACCGGAACTGTTGTGAAACTTAAAAGAGGTATCTAGGCACCCCGGGGTGTTGGTTTAGAGTAGGGTTGTTTTGTTCAATTAAGATGGATTCCTTGATTTTTCGTTTGTTTATGTTGGGTTCTTTGTTTAAAATGACTGTGTTTTTAATAGATATACTATGGTTTTTTGAGTTGCAATGGTGAAAAACATGGGACGGTTTTTTATTGTGAACCATAGTATATCAGTTTCCCATAAGCTGCAAACTGCAACTCTTTATGTGTTTGGTTCAATAATTTATAGACACCCTGTGCTATTAAAATAGAGTCGTTGTTGTTGTTTTTTAATCTTAGTGGAATAGGAATGTAACAATGAGTGACGACACCTTTTCATTCACAATTTCATAACTAAATTGCAACTAAGGTAGGTTTCATTTCCATTTGGGAGAGCTTCAGTAAATTAAGAATGAACAATTAAAATATTAATCAAGGTCTATAAAAAAACAAAATAGTATTTTTTTAAATATAATATATAACAAAATTAATAGAATACAAAAAATACAAATGTCCCCCACTGGGTCAGCGGTAAGTTTACAGACTTACAACACTCACATCCAGGGTTCGATTCAAGTGGTGGACAGAGCACAAATAACCCATTGTGTAGTTTGCGCTAAAAGTAACATAAAAGATACAAATTAAAATCTTTCAATCACATCAAACCTGATAATTCTCAAATACAATAGAGACAAATAGTTTATAAGCTGTAAACCACTATCACAATTATATGTTAAATTGGGAAAGTTCGTTTGTATAAACCTTGTATGATACTGCAAAAATGGTATTAAATAAATTTAATTTTGTTTTTGATGCGAAAATGTATTATCGATTTGAGATTTCAAAGAATGAGTTAAATGCTAACACTATTATAAGGCATTAGACTAAATTTACTTTATTTCAGTTTAGAACGGCAGAAATGCATTACATTTAAATGTTCTAAAAATAAGTTGCATATAAATGTTTGAATGCATGTAGTCAAATACTTTGAATTTGAAGGATTTTGTACCTTAATTTTATCACATATTTTCAACTTTAAACTATATATTATTCTGTTTAATTCTTTAACTCGTCAATCTGTAGAGGCCTTTGATTTATTGGACAAAAAGTTAATAGTTTAGAGTTTCTACATCAAAAGTTTATTAACCTGTAAAATACTAAGACTTTTCTACAAAGTAGGAAAATCGTTTTATTAAATCATCTAACTTAAGAACATAAAGTTTATAGAACGACCCAATGCTATACGTTTCAATTATTCAAGCTAGGTGTTTAATAGAATTTAGAAAAATTGTAACTATTAAACTTAAAGTTAGTATACCTAATAAACAATATTCGAATGTCACTACGTTTTGAGTATGTTTTACAGTTGCTATCTAAAGAACTCACTTGGTCAAAATCTGAGGACATTTTGGTAATATTATAACTCACTAGATCACCCGTGACACGTTAGGTCACCAACTATTCAGAGGTTATGAAGAATTCAAGCTAATTTCATTATTGCACCGAAATGAAGTTTTATTTTGAGATAATTTAATTAAATATATCAGTCCATTCATGTTATTCATAATTCAAGAAAAGATATATGATTGTTTATCGGGAGTAAAAGTAAAGGCCTTTTCACTTTTCAAAAAAGTGAAGTCAGAGTTTTCATGTATTGTGATGAATTAGTTCATTATGTTGTGGTCTTTCCTCTTAAACCTTTTACTAACAAGAAACAGTAACGCTTTATTTTTCTTCAAAACCAAGGCACATTATTGAGAAATTCTTCAATATCTTGTTTTTGTCATCTTACGCCTTTTAATGAAGAAATATATTTGTATGTAGAAGTTTCGTAAAGAGCGCGAACGGTAGTGTGATGTAAAATTACTCATGCTAGAAATTTTAATAAAAGTGATCCGAAAAACGGCGCTAACTCGGTAGCCCGTGGCTCGATTTTAACGAAACTTGTTTTATTCTGTTTCTATTCTCATTTCATTACAAATATGACGCTATTGTACGCCGTTTTTGCAGTATTTAATTACAGACAAGCAAACAAACAAACAATCTCAGAGTTTTAGTAGTATATAGATGTGCGTGTGTTTTGTCATAACAAAACCACATCAGCCTATCTTCTCTGACCACCGAGGAGAATCGAACCCCTAATTGTAGCGTTTTAAATCCGAAGACTTACCATTGTCCCACTAGGGGACTATGTCTCAACTAAGTGGAGTAGTTTTACCTTCTTTTAATAATTATAACTGGCAGTCGGTTTCTAATTGTAAGTGAAGAAGGACTGTTGGCATTAAAAATTCTTTGTACAAATAACATTTTTATATAAATCTGATAAAAGTAATAATATTTATATTTTACATAAAATGAAGTATTTGAGTACCAGAAATTCTACTAACACTATCGAAACTAAATTACAAGGATGTATATTTAAATTAAAGAAAGTTTATGAATTTAAGCACAATATTCAGGAATTGTATTATCAGAAAGTCATCTGGAAATTTTTAAAGGATTTTCTAAAATGCATAAAGTAGAATGTCTATTAAAGCGGATTTTTTATTTGATGTATTTGAAGAAATATACTAATAATATATACTTTTTCAATTCATAATTTTGCATTCGCTAATGGAATTCAAAATTTAAAGTTTGATAACAAGTTTTATTATACTAGTTTTGACGTTGAATCCTTTTCAATAACGTCCCTTTTGAACTAATTATTGATAATAATTTAAATGAGTTGTATACTCTGAAATCCGTATTTTTGAAGTTAATGTTCACTAGCAGAAACGTCATCCTACTAGACTTTGGTAAGATAGATAACTAAATGTTATTTTAGCCTGATAATGCAACACTCAATTGAGAGAGAATATACTCGTTTTAGACTTTTCAACAAACGTTTGAAATAATTCGAACGCGTGTCTACTTTGTAATTATATGAATGTATTGTACGTAACTTATTTACGTGTTGAAAAATATCAATATCAGTAGTCCATTCCGTACTACAAGCTGCATCAATTCTAATAATGCTCAAATAAAAGGTACAGCTCTGTAAAACTATTAATTTTACTATTTTATACACTGATGTGAAAATGCCACTCTAGCACAGTTATTCCCCCCCTGCGTATGATGTGATTATTTGTTGTTTACTTTACATTAAGTTTACATTAACAGTGGCGTAGGAAACGGGGAGCATGGGGGTCACCCCCCACTTTTCAATCTGAGTGCTGTAATGGGTGCGCCTGTGGTGCACATTCCCCTGCTTCGCTCGGTCACATAAGCTTTGCCCCCACTTTTAATTTACCTCCTACACCTCTGATTAATGTACATGGGATCAAATTACTGGGAAGTCTTTTGGTTACGAATTTGACGATTAAGAGAAAGCGAAATACTTACCACCATTACCTGTACAACATACAAACATCACCCAAGCAACTCCAACTGTCCAGATTGGCCTATGTAGCGCAGCGTAGAAAACAGTCTTAAGACGAGAGAGTTCTGAATAACCAGCCAAATGATCATACAGACCACCAAGAACACCACAAAGAAACGTCAGTGACACCACCCAGCCAATAATGATTTTTGTCTGCAATAGAAAAGATAATATAATAACAAACCAAATAAAGATACGCCTTATTCCTTCCAACATTTAGTTTTCGTCATTTATTATGCCATATGGTTTTCTTAATCCAAAAAGTAAACCTAATCTACGAGTGACAATATAATTATTTACAAAAGTATGTACATACACATACACACGCACATCTTTAAAAAAAAAAGCTAAAATAAAACTGCCACATATATATAGTCAATGCCTTATTAATTTTTATACTGTCTGTTTGTTTTTGTAGTTAAGCACAAAGCTACACAATGGGGTATCTGTGCTCTGCCCACCACGGGTATCGATACCCGGCCTCTAGCGTTGTAAGTCCGCAGACATACCGCTGTGCCACTGGGGGCTTTTTATACTGTCTTAACGTAGGCGTAATGGTAAGAGTTTGTATGTCACTAGAACCGAGATAGTAAGCATTCTTATTGTAATAAAAACAATGATAACCATATACGTATGTAACACCTTTTAAACTGGTAACATGTATTCGTTTATGCTTCGGCCATCAAGTATATTTCGAAGGTCTGAATCTCTCACAATCTCGATGAGAGATATTTGACGTTCGATTGTTATATAAGGTTTAAGTTGTCGTACAGCTACTTATAAAATATTTATCAGGGTACATTCATGCATTTTAAAAAGCAACAACAAACTTATCATTAACAATCATACTAAATCTTAGTAATACTTTTGCGCTAAATGTTTACGCTAACTATTGGTCCCCCTTTATCACTGAACTCACGGTTTTTCTTATTTGCTGATATTTTTAGACAGGATTTAGTTATATTTTTCCCCTTCAAGGAAGAAACGCGACTCTAAGCTATTATAAAGTAGCATAATACATAAAACCAGTT